AGAAGCAGGGGCGACGAGTTAGAGGGGGTGGGATTGGTGGTGATGGGAGTAGCACAGGTCCTTCAGCTGAGCTCGATTCTACAGATGGTTACTATCCGATACTGGCGTTGACGAAAGGAAGCCAAATGTAGCGGAGGAGATAAAGGACACAGCTAGAGTAACAAAGACGCAGGCTTGCATGTGCGAGGACTCCAAGGAACTGGCGACAATACAGTCGTGCAGTNATCCGATACTGGCGTTGACGAAAGGAAGCCAAATGTAGCGGAGGAGATAAAGGACACAGCTAGAGTAACAAAGACGCAGGCTTGCATGTGCGAGGACTCCAAGGAACTGGCGACAATACAATCGTGCAGTGGGCGTATGAGTCCAGCCGCGAAAGAGATGAATGCACTCGTAGCGCCAAACCAAACTCCCAGCTAAGTCAAAGCTCTCTCTCTCTCTCTCTCTCTCTCTCTCTCTCTCCAAATATATCGATAATCCTGTCTCCCTCTCCCTCTGTCGCAATCCTCACTTGTCAACGGTCGAGCAGGGACAAGGGGAAGCAGAGGGACCTCCAGCAGAACTCCGACCGTCCTGCCGATTCGGATTAATGACAAATATGACTTCTTTCATGTCGTCCAAAGCTGTCTCGGGGGTAACTGGCTTCGGCTTTCTTCGGGAGAACGGCCTTCTCCCCCTGACGGTGCACGTGCCCTCCCCGTACAACCTCCCCAGTTCCTCACAAGTCACCATCAAAGCATTCACGGCCCACTCGAACATGAAGCCCGTGCCGGACTTGGGCTCCTTCACGGGAACGAATCGGCGGCGGTACGTTCCGCGAGTTCCCGGGACGGGGCACAGAGAGGAACACACACGAACGGTTGGTCAGGTCTGGCTTCAGGCAGCCGAGGTGCGAGGATGTTGAGGCAAACGAGCGAGAAAAGACGAAATGACGAGACTACCTGCCTTGGGGCTAACAAAATCGTACTATTTATAGTACAGCAGCAAGCCTGTGGCAAACAGAAAGTCCATCGAACATACGTACGTCTGTGCATGTCGCAAAAGACGGTTATGGCAAGATTTGCGTCTGAATCATGGTTAGGATTGCTGAAACTTTCGCAATATCTATGCATACCTGGTATTGAATTCTGGAAGCCTACTGCATGCTGGTGCACCACCATTTGCGCCTTCTACTAACCGTAAAAATGGACACACTATTCTAACGGAATACTCCCCCCTTATGCACCACATGGCCGCTTGTGCATTTCAATTGTCTCTTACCCCGCGAAGTTGAAGCTCAACGTGTTGCTGGGCTCCATTGAGTTTCCCGAACATTGTTTCACACGGGGGGCACTCGTCTCCTTGCAGTTTACGCAACCCAGTGCTGCCTGACTCCGAAGAGATCCAGGCACCGCCGCTGCCCTTGCCGATGGCGAGTTGCTCGGGCAGTGCTACGGCGATCGAAGCAGATGCGCGGCGTCCGCCGGCAACCGGTGCAAACGTGGCGTCACTGCTGTCGGTGGCCGCGAACCCCGTTGGCTGGGTTTGTCCTTGCCCAGGAGAAGTGGGCAGCAAGTCCCGGGGCACGTGCATGGCAAAGACTACAAAAAATGCAAGGGCTGCGGAGAACAAGATTCTCGTCCTCGTAAGACATCGCGAGCACCGTGCCGTCTGTTCCCCGTGTGTGATGCTGCCGTTGGGGTGCTGCTGTCGCCATCCCCCAAGACCAAGGGCGTGGTGCAATTACCGTTCAACGAGGTCACCGTCGCCGGATGCACGCGGAGCACGCAACAATGGGTCCGCAAAAGAGAAAGCAAGGGAAACAAAAGCGTGCGCATCGTTAGAAAAAGCGAGGGCGTACCGCCGGTGTATGCGAGGTGCATGGTACGTTGGCACCAGGAAACCAACATTGGGAGGATAGTACTCTCGAAACATAGGACCAAAAGGGGTAAGGGGAAAAGCGGGGGTTATGACAGAACTTTCGCTTTCTTTCATGGGTCGACATTTTCCTACCTTGCGAGAGGCACTTCGCACACAATTTGGCGTGAACTCACCCCTTGGTGCCGTTAGATAAACCGCTAGGAAGCTCGGTGCCTGGCACATCGTTTGATCAAGGCTGATGTGTCGTTGTGGTGGGCGAGAAACCGCGAGGTGATTATAACTATACATTGGAGTTCTGAGCGTTCCTTTGTCGAGTGCCCGTGATTATACATGTAGTTCAACACCGTTTTTAAATCGATCTCGTCGAGGAGCTCACACCACCCCAACTCCGTCAATGTTTTTCTTCATAACGACAGAATAATGCAGCGATTCCAGGCGCGTGACTCCCAAGGCTAATTTCGTGGGAGGGTTGGGTCTGAATATCTCAAACGGAACTTGAGGGGTTCGGATCAACCGGGCCTACACCCATGACGGGGTGTCTTCGTTTTCTAGTATCAAGGAAGGTTGGGTGTGACATCGCCCGCTGCCTAAGCACTTGGCGCTTGGTACCGATCTACGGACGTTCTTCGGGGTTTCGAGTACATAAGACGACCAGAGGCATGGTACCGGGATGATGTGGTGGAGTCCCCTTCTATCGCGGACAAGGGGGGTACACGCGAGACCTAAACCCAACACGGGACTAAGAGCCAAATCTGGAAGGGAGGGGCGAGGGGATACTAAATCCTACCACCATGTACTTTGATCAGGTTGGGCACGCAGAGTATGTTTGCCACCAGCACGCGATGTCTTCGGCCATTGGGACGTGCAACTTCTTTCACCTACGATGGCCTCGTTTCAATGTACATGATCTAGATGTGCTCCGCAGGGCCTCTGGTCTTTCGTGTATGGGTGAGTTAGAGAATGTAAGATCCCGTCCCTTGTGCGTGAGTCTTGCCCTGTGCTGAGGCTTATAGTTGATGGTGCAAGAGAGTTGAACAATACACGGGAGAACAGAGTTTCCGTTCACTGCTCGGGTCATGACACAACCGTTCGGGTGATGACGGGGTCCACTCCACACCTTCGCAGTAGACATCAATGCCTTCTGCAAGGGTGTCAAGTGATGCCTCCACACGTGAGGGTGTCAAAGTTGTTGTTGTTGTTGGCTTAAAATTAAAAACGGTTCCGATCTCTCTACCCACTATCTTCATCTGTCCGTACTGATCAAACACTTGACCGGTCGATTCCCGTGGTCACAGCAGTAGTCTAACTTACCCTAAACGGGCATACTCAAGCGGACTCCGTTATTACCCGAACGGATATATCATGACCCGAGCGAAAGATAACCTTAATCTCCAACGCACAATTCACCCCTAGCACCGTAACCATAAAAATCTAACAAAGCCGAGGGGAGCAACACCCACCCACCGGGGACGGGGCCCTGCAGTCTATAAGTCACCCATACCCAACATCCCACAGGCCCCGCAGGAACTACATGTAGATCGAGCACACCAACATATAGCGTTCTGAAGGATATGGTCTCCCAACTCGGCCGATACTACACCATCATCATGTAGACAAGAGATGAAAGACCCCATGCACACAACGAATGCATGATGAGCATGAATTTGGATCGCCACTTACAGCGATGATCGTAGTCTGCCTGCGAAGTATGGCGAAAATCAACCCAGATCAAGCCTGTCTCACCTCTAAGAGTTGGCAGCGGTGCAATGGGGTCAGAAAAACGACCATGACCCATATTCTACCTCCCTCCACAAATTATCACGAAAATCCACGCCATTGAAGCACGCAACGGGCCTAACGGCCGAAGGCCTGATAATCAGTGTTAATGTGGAGGTCAGGATATGGAGATTCAGGGAGCACAGATACACGTACATGAACAGTAGGATCTGAGGGCATATGTGATAATAGATTGCTGTTCTCCGAGGGTCCCCAACTCTTATGACCCTCAACGGCTGCGAAGAGTTGTTGGATCTTTAGGAGAATGGGAAATGGGTCCACGAAGGTTCGCCCACTCTCCGCACCACCCTAGCTTGACTGAGTTCGCTCTTGATATTCCTCGCCACATTGCACCAAAGGAAATAGCCAACCTCCGGTGGCAGGACA